GGGAATAAAATTGCAATTGTTATTAATAACGACGCTGACTCTAACCTTTGAAGAGAGAGAAAAACGAAAAATTAAATTCGATCGTCCGTGATTCATCGCGTACAACAAATTGGACAGTCGACCACCACGACGATCCAACTAGGGAAAGAACCGAAGAAGAAAATGATAATCTCTCGCAATCTTGAGAGAAACCTTGACTGAGTGACTTCATTATTGTGGTTTAACGGCACGAACCACGGCAACTTATATGGCTGCAAAATCGGTTCAACGAATTTGTCACGATCAAGAATAAAGTGCGCAAGCAGAAGATAAATATTGCACGCGTGCAATCTCACTTTTACGAAAAAGTGAGTGTCAAACAACATTTCCACCCAGAATTTCATCGCCAAAGCCATCATTTTATCTCGTTAAGACGATTGCTTCAGACACGCCTTCGAACACCTGGTCAAGGTCGTTCCTTTCCTCATAGAAGAGAACACCGAGGGAAGGAAATTTCCTCCAAGGCGGTAAGATGCAGTCCTCGAGGATGACGAGATCAAACAAACCACACCTCTATTAATAGAAGATTGGTAAGGTAATATTTTAGAGAGCGGTCCTCCCGGATGGCTCAACGCGATCGTGATGTCACGCACGCGAGGCAAACACGAAATATCTACGAGCTATAACGCGTTCCTCCTCCTTTTCTTTGCCAACGATATTTCCACTCGCGAGATCATCAGGGAATTTCCGTCAGAAGAATCGTTAAAATTATTTCCCTTTATAAATTCTTTTCTATGCCTGCTCACGATTGGCCCACAAACACGGGAGTATTTCATTCATTTTATCTGCTCGATGCCAGCGGCATAGGCTTTCGTGCGTCTTCCTCTTCTCTGGCTGCTTCCTTTCGATGGCGCCTCGAGAATCATATCTCGAAAATAAAGCAAAGAAGATCGGACGAGCGCTACGTCCGGTCGTTCAAAGAGAGAGAGAAAGAGAGAGAGAGAGAGAGAAGAAAAAACGAGACGAATACTTTATTGCGATACCGGCTTCTATCGACTATTAAGTTATATCAGAAAGGTCGGCCGATCTCTTCGCAGAAACGATTTCTCGCTGCACCGATTAGCGAGAAGAGCTCCGATGGACGTAATCGGAGTGCACCATTCTTGAATAAGCTACAATGGTTTTAAATGACAATTCATTCGTAATCGAGCATGAATGATTAATATTAAAACAGCGATTAATTTTCTTCGACGAGCGAGCCGATCGCGAAACAGAGTCAGAAAACGCGCGCTAAGAAAACGAAGTTAATAATTTTTAATCACGGCCCCTTTGAATCGAAATGATGAATAAACGAAGCACGTAACAAAATAAATGTTGTCACCGAAAGTTATCGCACGGCGAGCTACTCGATTTCGAAGGGTCTCGATACGAGGAATCTTAGCGCACACGTTGTCTCGATCCACTATCTCTACTTTTTTCCCCACTCGGCCTGAACTTCGCTTAGACGCGCTCCTTTTTTTTTTTTCTTTAACTGTCGGACGGAAAGGGTTCCAAGAACTACTTTCACGTTCTCGTAAAATTTTTGACGTTCCTTTAAAGAAAGAGAACGCAGTCTTCTCGACTCGGAAGTAAAGGAACGTTGTACATTCTCTAAAATAATTTTCCTCTTATATTCCACGTTTAATCATTTTTCCCTTTCCAATCTCTTCATCCATCGTGCTATACCAGCTTTACGATCTGTTCCAAATAGAAATCTTCCTTTCAGAAGTTACACAATAATCATTTTTATTCAGTCTATCTCTCGTTTTCATGATTCCATCCCTGTTCGTTATCCGAGGATCCTCGATGCGTTTCCTCGTCTCGAAGGTTCCTCACGTCGGGGAGACGTGAAATGTCAATGCGTGGGCGGTAGCCGCCTTTTCGACGTTTCAGCAGGAAACCTCGAGCGCGCCTCTTTCCTATATACGGGGCTATATAAGGCGAGCTTTCTCCGACTTGTTCACCGAGTTGCAACTCGATGATTTCACTGGCAACAACACAATACGATACACGAGCGAGAGGCCATCCCGCCGATTCGAGGAGTGAACGGAAATCTCGAGTGGCCGTTGATTGGCGCAAGGACGCGGCACGTGCAATATTCACGAAGGAAACACGCACACCAGCGAGCACGAGCACGAGAGAGAGAGAGACCGAGTGGAAAAGTTGATTGGGAGCGCGAGGCCAATGGAATAACCGCCGACATCCCTGCGTAATTCTCTTCAATATTTGAAGAGAGGTGGTCGTTTAGGTTTTCGGGTCGCGACCGCGAGCAAATTGGAGCGGCCAATGGAGGATGGGAGTGTTTGCGGCGAATTGCGGGCGCGATTCTTGGACGGATCTCCCGAGAGAATTTCGATTTTGTCTACGTGTTTTGGAAGGTGGCCATCGGCTCGGTCCCTCTAACGTGGAAATAACGAGGATTACGTAAATCCGTTGGAAGGCTGCGCTCGATCAATGGAAACGTCTCGTTTTAAAATTTATTCACGTAAACGAATTGCCTCCGTAGCGGCAATAAACGGTGATTTAATTGAGGCCTCGTCCAACCCGTCTTTCCCTGGCCATCGAGTGAAATACGCGAAACATATATCGATCCTGACGGGGTATAAAAGCGACTCTCGATCGTCGTTTATAACGTATGCGTTCTCCATCGCACGCATTACGACCGACATTTGACACCCGGCCAAACATATCGAACGCGTACCGTGCGTATTTACCAGTGCGCTCCAGGACCGTATCTACGTCCACTCTTTTACACCTCGGTTCCAAGGAAAGCGAGAAATTTTGAAAAAATTTTTCATCTCGTACATGTTTGAAATATTTCAGAAATTCCAATTAATAATAATCTCTGAATAATATCGAGTTAATCAACGATACGAGCTACAATATTTCGCCCAGGAAGGAATTCATTTCAATAAATTCATTGTACGTTTCTTTTTTTTTTCTTTTAGCGACTCGTGATTCATCGAGATCTACGCATCCTCGTAAAAGAAGAGGGTTAGAAAGTCACGTGCAATCCGGTCGATCGGTTTTACTCGACGAGCCAACGGAACGAATCCATATGAACGGATATCTTTGTCCACTCCACTTCCTCTTCTCCCCGCTCTATGCTAAATATACGCACGAATATATCGTTCCTCCCAGCAAAGATCGCGAATCGAATATCCTCGATCGGTGCATTGCGACACTCCTCGGTCTGTTTCGATTCGAAGCATTGCTCGCTCGTGCGAGACGATATTTCAATTTCGTTCCTCTCTCTCT